ACAGATAAGATTAGAAGAGTACACAATGGACATCAGGGAGGAGAACAACTTGACCACATCCCCCACCAAAAGTTACCACTTGGAAGCAGACGACTCCATCATATCTCAAATTCTGATGAAGGATTCAGGTTTTTACAGCTTTGTGGAAGTCTACCAGGGTTGGGGTCATATGGATCTCAGGGAGCACACTACCAAGAAGGTGTGTTTCCTAGGTCTCACAAGGCGATAGAGCTTTGCAGCCAGGATCTAGAGCATGCCAACTCTTCCAGTTCTTACTGGTCTTCAGTTTCATTCTGTTCCCACAAACTTTACTGGTTTTGAAAGATCTTCTGCTTCATTAAACTTCTGTTAATAGAACTCCAGGCTAACATTATTAAGGTCAAAAGTAAAGATTTAGAATATTTCTATCCCTATGGATGGAAGAACCTGGCTCCTTTGTACCCTTAAGGGACGAAATAACTATTTCTAAAGAAAACAGATACATTCCATTTAAGCTTAACCTAATTCTCTAGAAACCCTTTGCAAAGAAACAGTGTTATGCACAACTTATCAATGCTTTTCCTTTGCCAGAGAGAACCTGGAGTTTCTGGAAAGAGCCCCAAGATGGAGGTTACTCTTGGTACCACTCTCTTCAGGTATGATGCGTTATAGCAATGTAGATTTGCCTTTCACAAGATGATTATGTCATCATGTCAAAAGAAGTTCTATTAAACCAGCCTTCCCAGTCTGGTGCCCTCTAAATGTGGTGGGACTGCAATTCCCAGACAATATATGGCCATTAGTCAATGGCAAATTGGTTTTTGCTGTGATTAGTTTCTCCATAGCCCCTTTATTTTTCGCTGAGATGCAGCTGGTTGCAAACAGCTTTTGGCTCCTTGAAAACAAAGAGGCCACAACAGAAAAAGAAAGCAGCCTTTGTTTCTCCATGAAAAATCCACTTCTCAACAAGTCCTGCCTAAAGAGTTGTCCTCCATGTAAGAGTACTCCTCTGCACATACATGTCTTTCATAACCAAACATTGGATCTGATCTAGAGCAAATGAGCCAGTTAGGTCTTATAGAAAGGAACTAAGGATTGAAGTGAACGCCGTCATACTAGAAGCTGAAATGCCCAGTGCTGTACATTTGGGTGCTAGTGTGTATGTACATAATATATCCATCCCCCAATATTAAATATTAAATAAGCCTTGATTTTAGGAATTAAAGTGAAAACCCAGGAAATTATTGAACATGCATTGTTTAAGTAATCAAGCAAATATAATTAGGGTAATATCAATTCCCCTATGCCTACTTTGGAAATAATTTCCTGAGCCATCATCAGGGCCACTTAGGATGGAAAAGACGCACAACCCATCCTCTTCACATGTCCCTCCAGAGCAGAAAGGAGCAAGCCAAAAGACCACGAAACCCCACTCTTTTAGGAAGAAAAGTTACATTGTCTGGGACATTTATTATAGAAAAGAGTTGAGTTGGGGAGGGACAGGTGGGGGAGACATAAGAGTAACATGTATGTGTGTGGGTGTGTATGTACAGTACGTATGTGTGTGGGGGTGTAGGGGTGTATGTACACACACACAATACAAAAAACATAAAGGCATAGAGCTTTTTTCCTTCCCTAATAATACTAGAACCAAAGTCTTTCAGAGAAGTTGTATGGTGGGAAATTCTGAACAGATAACAAGAAGGGTTTCTTCATGGAGCACACAACTGACAAGTGGCACTCATTATACTGTAGAATGTTTTAAAAGGGGTTAGCCAAATTTATGGACGATGCGATTGCCAATGGCTACGAGTCACTACAAAGCTTCTCATTATCAGTTACTAAGAAACCTAAGAGTGCTGTTTGATTCATAGCCTTCTTGTAGACTCCAAAGGACATCTTCCTGCATCCCCAGCCTGTGATCTTTGAAGAGCAATGTTTTTTGCCTTTCCTTCAACTTATATGGCACTTGTTAAAAATGGTGATTTATTTTGATAATATATCTGGATGTACATGTACAAAGGGAATAGAATTAATACCATAGTCATATTTATTTTCACATGCATTGTGTTCACTAGGTACTTGGAGAAAGATTTGAGGACCACGTTAAAACAATAGCTCTTCTCTTGCAAAAACTTGACAGATCAGTGGAAGACCAAGTAGGAGCTTTAGACAAGCTGGTAAGCAACCATGTCAAGAACTTATGGGAATGGCTAGAAGACCATATTAAGGATCTTAATGTGTGGCTCAATATGTACTTTTGGGCTGTCCAAGAGTTTCACGACAGGTTTACGAAACACCCTGACTATATGCTGGGTAAAGCGATCCTACTCCATGACAACTATTGGAATGACGGTATCAATAAAGCAGACTCATGGCTGGAGCACCCCAACAGTACCTTGTACATGTGGTTGGAGGAAGCCCCTCTAATCTTCTACAAAACCCTGAAGATGCAGGGTAGTAACATCAAAAAATATACTGAAACTCATATCCAGCACATAGAAGATCATGTAAGAGCCTTAGAACAGCTATTGGATAATTACACCTCAACTGCCAATAAATGGCTAGAAGATTATGCTGCAGTTAAAGAAACATCCTCCCAGAATTTTACCTGGGACTTTTCCACTGTGGGTTCAAAGGCACAAATGCTAGGAAGAGCACTTGTAACAGCCTTGCAAGGGAAATGCCTTATGGTCATGAAATGGCTTGAAGAGAATGTTGAGGGCATAGAACAGTTGTTGTGGAATATCATAAATTGGTAGTGGAAGAACAAATAGCATTTTGAAGATTTTTCAGTAATTTTACGTCGTCTTAGCTGAGTTCTACATAACATCTCTCCCAGTGAGAATCCAATATGCTATGGATTTCTGCAATCCACACACTTACAGGCTGTAATATCTTAGCACAAATAAAAGCTTAATAAATATTTCCTCAATTTCTGTTTGTTTGTTTGTTTAATTTTTTACTGCCTTTTTTCATTTGGTTTACCAGGCTGAAAGAATAGATGTACCAACTGTACCAGGCTCAAAACTACCAAAGGGACCCAGATTTGAGCTTTCATTGCAAAAGAAATTCTCAAGCTGATACAAGCAAAGTATAGAAAGCAAAATGCTTAGAGCGGTGTTTCTCAACCTCAGCAGCTTTAAGATGTGTGGACTTCAACTCCCAGAATTCCCCAGCCGCTTGGGAATGTGAAGTCCACACATCTTAAAGTTGCTGAGGTTAAGAAACACTGGCCTAGATCATTCCAACCAAATGCTTTGTGGAAAAGCATTGGCATCTTACTCATTAAATTTAGCCAATACATTGTAATTTTTACTAATTTTTAGGGAAGTCATAATATGAAGAAACCATTCGAATCACATTCATTGTCTAAAGAAATTCCTTCCTGGTTTGCTTTGAAGAAGGGGCATGCACTGAATTTAGTCTTAGCCATAGCAGCAAATTGAAGCAAGAAAAATCTGTGGCTGTATGAATAAAACAGACCCTTGGGTGCTGTATTGTGAGGAAAATATATCTTTGAGTGAAGAAAGTAAGGTTTTAGAGGCTTCGGATGAATGGGAGCACCTTAATAAAATTGAAACATAAAAGAATGTGCGGCATCCTTTTGCTGGTGTGAACCAGGCTGGTTGTAAATACTTTATCACAAATATCCCCATAGCAACCAAGGCTTGAAGGAGGAGGTGTTCTTCCTGGCATTTGGCACCTTGAACTGATTTGTTTCTTCTTCTCAGTAGGGCTTGCAGATAGTATATAACAGAGGGGCAGAAAGTAACTTGAGATTTATTACTTACTTAAGTATGCCTACATCATCACATGAATATGTATGTATGCACCCTTTTTCCTTCCTCTTTTCTGAAATGTATAAATATCAGAGCATCTTTTTTTTCCGGAGGAGTGTCTCTCACTATCCCTTGGTGGGGTTCCCCTCCAGTGCGTACTGTCTAATAAACACTGCAGTGAAGCCTTGATTATTTTGCTTTTGGGTCCTGTGTTTGACTCCACAGTGTATACATTTATTTGCAACCATAGGTTTTAGCAAAATTCATATAAAGTTACAACAATCCATATCTTTTCAATGCATCCCCTCTAATACTAACAGCACTATTTGTCAGCATCGGCTTTCGTATCTTCCTTGCGGCTATTGCAAATAATGCAACTTGTTTTGTTACGTGTTCATCCACATCAGTCAACAGAAAATGGATTTTTCTTCTAAACTAGACTGATTCAGTTGGATTAACAAAGGCATGATGAATCTAGCTCTAGGTTCCTGATATAATTTGCAATGTAGTAAGTAATGGGCCAGATCTTCCACCTGTGAGTTATTACAAATGATAAATGGTGTGCAGTTAGTAATCCTTTATATCTTCCATCTAAATAGGCTGTTGGCATTGTCTGAAAACAGGGTTCGGTGAAAGCTTGTCTCGGGGAATGGGATGTAAGAGACTGCAAATAATATGACATTCCTTGTCCATCTTTAAAGATCAATACCACTTGGCCAATCTAAGTTTACATACTGGCTCTCTATCTTGTCTAAAATCTTTAAAAAATAAGTAGTCCCTCAATAGTGTATGATAATTTATGTTGGTCAACAGTTCCTGATCTAGCGATAATTGTGAGAATAGTTTTAGACACAAATTCACCCAACTATTACTGTTAAATTGTTTGTGGAGGCATTGTTTTGCCAAATAATATTGGGCATGAAGACTAGTCTCCCATAATATAAGATTATTGCTTTCTTTACCCTTATATTAACTGATGAAAGGTCCACTTCTAATCTCAACATTGCTGCTGGTATACATGGGGGTAAGGCTAAGATTGATCTCACAAATTTATTCTGGACCACTTCTAATTCTTTTATTCTGGACCACTTCTAATTCTAGTCTCCCATAATATAAGATTATTGCTTTCTTTACCCTTATATTAACTGATGAAAGGTCCACTTCTAATCTCAACATTGCTGCTGGTATACATGGGGGTAAGGCTAAGATTGATCTCACAAATTTATTCTGGACCACTTCTAATTCTTCTAGTTTACTGAAACCCCAAATTGGGGCCCCATATATCAACTGTGAGATTGTTTTCCCCTGGAAGATCTTAAGCCCAGACTGTACTAACTGTCCTCTTTCCGAGTAGAAGAAGGAGCAAATGGCTCTCATTGATCTCATGGTCATTGTTCATGTGTGTTTTCCATGATAGCATTTCAGTAAACTGGATACCCAAATACTTAACTGACGTCACTTGTTCTATCTCCTTACCATCTAGTGTCCATCTATGTCTCTTTGGTCTTTTAGCAAATACTACTACCTTGGCTTTGGAATAATTTATCTGTAAATATTCTTTCCTAGAATAAGTGCCAAATTTTGTCAGGATTCTTCTCATTCCAATTAATGTTGTCAGCATGAGTACCATGTCGTCTGCATTCAGTAATATAGGGGCCTTTCTACTTCCAGTTGATGGGTCATAAAAGGAAGGATTATTAAGCTCTTCTACAATGTTGTTTATATACAAATTAAAAAGGAAGGGAGCCAGTACACAATCCTGGCAGACGCCTTTTGTGGTTTTAATCTGCTTTGTTAGGGAGCCACTCTGGTTTATCCATATTTGCATGTGTCTTCGTATAATGTATATATTAGGTAAAGTAATCTTCTATCTAGATCATTAGCTAAAAATTTCTCCCATAATTTTCCTCTATTTATTGTACCAAAGGCAGATGGTAAGTCAATAAATGCTGCATACAGGCATTTTGAGGGGCCATTCATTGATTTGTGAATCGGAGGTTGTAAAGTGAAACACTGGTCTAGAGTACTATGTCCCTTGCTGGAGTCTGCCTGTTCTTCTGCTATAATCTGCCTAGTATCCACCCAATCAATCCATCTGTTTAAAAGATACCTTGCATATAACTTACACCCTATGTCAGTGAGGCTTATAGAGTGAAAGTTAGCAGGGTTTGTGGAATCTCCCTTTTTAAATATTGGAATTACTACACTGTTTTTCCAACCTACAGGGATTCGCCCAGTGGGTTGATATAAGTAAACAAGGAGGCGAGCATAGGAGCCCACCAATCAGGGAATGCCTTAAAAATTTCTGGTGGTAACATATCCCCTCCTGGGGCTTTCTGTTGTGAAATTATTCTTTTAACTTCTGCAGCAGTAACAGCAGTAACATTTTAATGATGTTTTTAATATATCTGTACCCATTAACTGTTAGTTTGATATTCTAATATCCTCAAATTTATTTTTAAAATTAAAGTATCCAAACCTCAGGTGAAATCTGTGCTTCTGTTAGTACTTTTATTTCTCTCTGGCCTTGGGAAACTAATTCCCAGAATTTTGTGTCATTATTTTGTAAACGTAACAGTCTTAATTCTTGCCACTGGCTTTTATAGTAATCTTGTTTACTTCTCCTTATCAGTACCTGATATTTTTGGCATTTATCCTTCACTGCCTCTACCCTGTCAAATGATTTATCCTTCTTAATTTGTCTGATTAATCTAGCCAGTTCCTTTCTTTCACGTCTACATTCACAGTTAAACCACGAAATTTTGGTTTCACTCATTTTCTCTTGCCGTGGTTTATACTTCAGAGGTTTAAGATTGCCAGGCACATCCTCATATATGATATTTGCATTTTCCAGTTTTTGAATAAGTGTGACCCTCTGCTGTAGCATTGTTGGAGTGTGTAGCGCTCATCTTACAGCTTTGGCCAAGGGGAGTGTCCACTTTAATCATTTCTGATTCTTTGTAGTGCCTTCTGTATTGTGACTCTCTTGTGCTACGTTATTTCCACATAGCCATATTAGGTCCAAGCCAAGTAGTAAGTGAGCACTCTCTAGTCCATCTATAATATCAAAAAACTGTACTAATAGGATCAGTGAGGGCGATATGAATATATAATCAATGACAGCTCCCCCTCTGTGGCTGACTGATGTATAAGAACCCCCAGATCGATCCCATTGTGATCCATGTAAACTGACCATTTATACATTAATTGAAGTAGTTCCAGTCTGCACTTATTCCAGATCTTATTGTGTGATGTATGACCCAGAGGGAAAATGGCCTCCATTTCAAAAAAGCCTTTATCCCTTAAGTTAAATATTTCCAAACCTGGGCCGATTCTAGCATTAAAATCCCCACAAATAATTAAATCTGCACTTGTGGGATGATGTAACTCTTCAACTAATGACTGTTCCAGGTTATCCCAATTTATCTGTTGTCTGGGCGGCACATAAATGTTAACACATATTAATGTTCTTCTTTTAGATATCAGCCTCAGTATGTGAATTTCATCTATGCCATAATTTCCAGGATTGATTTCTTCTATTCTCACATTGAGATGTACTGCGATGAGGCTCATTAAGCCCCCTTCAGCATGCCCCATCTTTCAGTCCCTCTTGGCCCATTTATAAAAACATCTGTAGCCAGGTAATGCTATTATTTCCCATCAACCAAGTTTCTTGGAGAAAAATCATATCATCTTGTAGAAATGAAAAAATTCCCCATCTATGCACTTACCTGCCCAACCAGCAATGTTCCAGGATATACATTTAACTGTAGATGTCTTCATGTTAGTTTTTTGTCAACTCTGTTGATTAACCTCATTTTGGATTTGGAACCGATGACTATTTTTGTCTGCAAAGTTGTTGTTATGTTGGAGTATGACCTCTGGTCCTTTCTTCCTTTGAAGTATTGAATCATCCTCTGGCCATTTCATTTGTACTATTAAGTTTAAAATTTCTTGAGTATCTTCATAAACACAATTAT